CATATATATACATATATATACATATATATACATATATATACATATATATACATATATATATAATTAGATGTTTGCTTTCGGGGTTTGTGCTGGCTATGGCGTCCTTAATAAGATTTTATTTATTTATTTATTTATTTATGTATTTATTTATTAACTTATTTATTTATTTATTTAATACATATATACATATATATATACATTTTGTATTAATTTGTTTTCTTTGTTTGATTTAATGCAGCAACATCAAACAAAACGAAGGAAAAGTGCTGCAGCGAGAGTAGAGGGTTTTTTAATTGAATATAACTAAGTTCCTAAAAAATACACTGCTGCTGCTGCTGCTGTTGCTGCTGCTGTTGCTGCTGCTGCAGCAGGAAGCGCAGCAGCCAGACGGCAGCACGGCAGCAACCATTGACTTAGTAGTAGCAGCAGCATAAATCTTTATTCGTTTAATCACAAGAAAGAAGAACATATTAAATATATTTTGTTTTGTTATCCACGTCCTGCTGCTTCAGATCTACTCGAGCCCCAGCAGCAGCAGCAGCAGCAGCAGCAGCTGCTGCTGCTGCTGCTGCTGCTGCCGGTGGACCAGAGGGGCCCTCTGGGCAGATTGAGGCCTCAAGGCAGCAGCATCGTGCTAGGCAGCAGCGGCTGCATCTTCCTTCTCTTTTTCAGCTTCAAATTGAAATAAAAACCCTAAACCCTAAACCCTAAACCCTAAACCCTAATGCGCTCTGGTCACGGGCTTCCAGCTGACGGCGGCCTTGACAGCAGCTCAGCAGCAGCAAGGCGGCTGAAACAGAACACTGCAGCAGTTTTTTAGTGCAGCAGTAGCAGCAGCAGCATTAGTAAACTGCTGCGGAGCTGCGGCAGCGGCAGTAACTGCTGCAGCAGCAGCAGCAGCAGCAGATCGTGCTGCAGCAGCAGCACACAGCCATGCAGGTCCACCGAAGCAGTGCCTCCTCTCTAGAGGCAGCAGTGTAGCGTTCAGCAGCAGCTGCACCGAAGATGTCTCTTCTAGACATGCCGCAGCAGCGGCGACTGCTGCTGCTACCTCTGCTGCTGCTGCTGCTGCTGCTGCTGCACAAGGAGAGTGTGGCGGGACCTGCAGCAAGGTCCCTGTCGTCTGCTGCAGCCCGCCGTGCTCCAGCAGCAGCAGCAACAGCAGCAGCAGCAGCAGCAGCACCTCCACTGTTCGACGAAGACGTTGTTCCTGCTGCTGTGCATGCATTCCTGCAGCAAGAGAGCAGCGACAGCAGCAGCAGCAGCAGCAGCAACAGCAGCACGGGTCCGCAGCTCGTAGCATCTGTAGGCAGCAACAATGCAGCAACACAGCAAGCTGTTTACTCGCTCATGTATGAAGAGCTGGAGCACCGGCTGCACCGGCTGCAGCAGCAGCAGCAGCAGCAGCAGCCACAAGCGCTGCCGCAGCACGGAGAGGAGGCAGGCTCCTTCGCTGTTATGAAGAAGCTGCGCAACGCGATGGATCGGCTGTCTCTGCTGCAGCTGCAGCAGCAACACCAGCAGCAGCAGCAGGATGACGATGCAGCCGCTTCAAACGGGTCAACACCCCCAGAGGCGGCGGAGACTGCGGATGATCAAACGCACCAGCAGCAGCAGCAGCAGCAGCAGGAGCAGCACGAGGGTCTTATATTCGTGCGCCAGTACTTGACGGAGACTACAGCCACCGCGGCTATGAAGATAGCACAGTCAATAGAGAAATCTGCTGCTGCTGCTGCTGCTGCTGCTGCTGCTGCAGACGATGAGTCTGGGCACCACACGCACTTCCCTGGGGTGCGTGAGGCTCGATTTGCTGCAGCTGCCAGAAGCAGAAGCAGCAGCAGCAGCAGGAGAGTGGCTGGGCTACCTACTACGCATGCACGGAGAGACGTACAGAATGCGCTTTTGCTTTCTGCTTTAAGTGCTGTCTTCTCGCGGGAGCGGATGAGGAGACAGTCTCTGCTGCTGCAGCAGGGAGGTGAAGCAGGTGCTGCAGGGTATGTACTGGCTGACTCGTGCATTGCTATCGACTTCAGGAAGGCAGTCAGAGCAGCAGCAGCAGAAGCTGCTACTGCTGCTGATGCTGATGCTGATGCTCATGATGATGATGGTAGTCATGGTGCAGCAGCAGCAGCAGCAGCAGCAGACGCAGACGCAGCAGAAGATGGGGAGACAGTCGAACGCTCTGCAACGGCAGCAACTGGCGCGACGTCAGCAGCAGAAACAGAAGCAACAGCAGCAACAGCAGCAACAGCAGCAACAGCAGCAGCTTCTATAGGTAACGGTCGATATGATTCTGAGAATAATAGCTGTAGCTGTCCCTCTGGCTGGCTTCCCTGCGCTCGTGATGAGGCTTTAACTGTCTCCTACGGTTGGAGACAAACACTGCAGCGGGTCTGCGCTGAAGAGCAGCAGCAGCAGCAGGAAGCACAGCAGGAAGCGCAGGAGGAGGGGCAGGAGCAACCGCAAGAGCAGCAGCAGCAACAGCAGCAGCAGCAGCTAGTGGTCCGGGCCTATACAAAGGGCCTTTACTCTTTTGACTGCAGCGGCAACCAGGTGTCTCCTCCATCAGCAGCAGAAGGAGACAGCACTTGTGCTGCTGCTGCTCTCGTCTTGTGTAGGGAAGAGCAGCCCCGCTGCGGCCTCAGCGAGTGGTCCGCTCTCCTAAACCCTAAACCCTAAACCCTAAACCCTGTAGAGTGGAGGCAGCAAATAGAAGCGAAGGAGCAGAGACAAAGAGAGACAGACAGAGACAGAGACAGAGACAGAGAGAGGGACATCATAATACTAATAAAGCAAACAATAATTATAATTATAAACCCTCAACTGTCTCCTTCAAGAACTGTCCTTAGAACTGTCCTTTGCTCCATGCGGTTTAGGGTTTAGGGTTTAGGGTTTAGGGTTTAGGGTTTAGGGTTTAGGGTTTGGGTGTGCAGGTCGGAGTGGTCCAGCTGCTCTGCGCCGTGCGGCTCGGGGCAATCTTATCGCTTTCGTAGACCTTTATTGCAGGTAGAGAGAGAGGAGACAGCTGACGAAGACGAAGGAGACAAACTGTCTCCTTTCTTAGCCCCGAAGAGCTGCTTGCCTTATCATTTGGAGGAAAGGAGACAGTGCAATGCGGAGACACCTTGCCCCTCTGTTGTACACCCTGAACCCTGCTTCTGGGCTTATGCAGACTCCACCGAGTTAGCTGCTGCTGCTCCTGCTGCTGATGTTGCTGCTGCTATTGCTGCGCCTGCTGCCTCCTGCTGTTGCTGTTGATCTTGCTATTGTTGCTGCTGCTGCCTCCTGCTGTTGCTGTTGATCTTGCTATTGCTGCTGCTGCTGCTGCTGCTGCTGCTGCGGTGGCAAAGGCGGAGTTCCGTGGTACCGTTGCTGCTGCTACTGCTGCTGCTGCTGCCTGTGCTGCTGCTTGCTGCTGCTGCTGCAGTGATGTTGTGCGTTCCTGAACCCGATGTTGTTGCGATTTGTTTTCTGCTGCTGTTGCTGTTGCTGCTGCTGCTGCTGCTGCTGCTGTTTCAGGCCTCAGAGTGTGTACACTAAAGGGACATGTCTCTGTACGTTGGAGCCAGGTGAAGAAGGGGAGACAGCTGCTGCTGCTGAGCATAAGGAGACAGTAGAGTCTTCTCTCGTTGCCTGCAGTGCAGCAGAAGCAGCATTTAGCTTCTCACAGTGGAGACAGCAGCTGGTGCAGTACTGCTTCAGCTCCCTTAAACTCGCCAGCAAGCCCCACCATGTCAGTCTGCTGCTGCTGCTGCTGCTGTTGCTGCTGCTGCTGTTGCTGCTGTCTGTGAAAGGAGCCCTAGCAGCCTTCTTTGCTTGTTGCTGTTGCTGCAACAGCTGCTGCTGTCTGCAGTTGGCAACCCGTTCCGTTGCTGCAGCAGTTGCTGCTGCTGCTGCTGCACCTGCTGCTGCTGCTGCTGCACCTGCTGCTGCTGCTGCACCTGCTGCTGCTGCTGTTGCTGCTGCAGATAATACGGTACAGCAGCCGCGCTGGAAGCACTCGTGTTGGGCTTGCCTCTTTAGGCTATCTCGATTGTTCAGGTATTTGAAGTGTCTCCGTTTGTCTTCGTTTGTTTTTGTTTATTTTTTTGTCTCCTTTGTTTGCTCAATCGGTTCTGTCTCCTGTCTCCTGCTGCTGTCGCTCTGCTCGCCGCTGCAGTGCCCTTGTCTGTCTCCTTTGTCTCTGTCTGTCTCCTTTGTCTGTCTCCCTTCGCTGTTTGTCTCTTCTAACTGTCTCCTTTAGTTTGGGCTCGCGCTTGTTTGCAGTCTCTGTGTGTCTCTTTGCTGCTTGCTGCGTTGCTGTCTCCTGTGTCTCCTTTGTGCGTCTCCTTGGTGTCTCCTCCATGCTGCTGCTGCTGCTGTTGCTGCTGCTGCTGCTGTCCGCCACCTTCTTATCTGCATATCTCCTGCTGGTGTTGCGCTTGCTGCTGCTGCTGCTGCATTTCTTGTTGCTGCTGGTGCATTTTCTGCTGTTCCTGCTGCTGCTGCATCTTCTTCTCTCCCTGCTGCTGCTGCTGCTGCTGCTGCTGCTGCTGCTTCAGGAGGGTTTGGTGTATTTGATGCTTCGTCTATGGCTTCATTCTGCGGAAGGGGACAGCCAATGTTGTGCAGGCGCAGCAACAGCAGCAAAGCTGTCGTACCCTTTGGTGTTGATGCATATGGAGACATTGAGCTATCAGCGCTGCAGCAAAGTGAGACTGAGGCTTGCTGCTGCAATAGGCTTGCTGCTGCTGCTCTTAGAGCATCCCGCTTCTGCTGCTGCTCTCCGGTTTGAATAGGAGCTGCTGCTCCCGGTGCTGCTTCCGTTGCTGCGCATTAGCAGCAGCTGCACATGCAAATGGCGCAGCAGGAGCAGCAGCAGCAGCTGTTGTTGCTGCTGCTGCATGGATTTTCCGAGATCCTGCTGCTGTTGCTGCTGCTGCTGCTGCTTCTGTCTGTTTTCTTCTGTGTGTATATATGAAGCACTGAGAGGCTGCGTGCATTGATTGCTGCTGCACTTTGTCTGTCTCCTTTGTCTCCTGTGTCTCCTTTGCTGCAGCATTTTCGTTTGCTGCTGGGGAAGCCCTAGAGGAGACAGAAGAGTTTGGGGGCTCATGGCTGGGTCTGCTGCTGGGGGCCTCTCTTGCTGCGCTGCTGCTGCTGCTGGCATACCTTCGCAAGCGGAAGCTGTCTGCCTTCATTAAGGAGACACTGCGTCCTGTAGCAGCTGCAGCAGCAGCAGCAGCAGTTGACGCGGCTGCCGCTGCTGCTGCTGCAGCTGCTGCTGCTGCTAAATGTGCCACACAGAGGAGCAGCTGGGAGGCAGCTGCAAGGTTCGTATACACTCGAGCAGCAGCAGCAGTTGCTGCTGCTCCAAGAGTTGCTGCTGCTGCACCCAAGGCTGCTGCTAATGCATTCAAGGCTGCTGCTTCTGCACTGAAGTCTGCTGCTGCTGCTGCGCCAAAGGCTCCTGCTGCTGCTGGTGAGTGGCTATACACCACAGGCGAGCGTATTGCTGCTCGCTTGGGGTTAATAAAGTGCAGCAGCGGCAGTAGCAACAACCCCTACAGCAGCAAGAGGGTTCTTATCAGCAGCCCCGATCCAAGCAGCAGCAGCAGCAGCAGCAGCAGCAGGAGGGGCAGCACAGATAGTTTAAGCGACAGCGACAGCAGCAGTTGGAGCCTGCTGCCCCCCCCTGAAGCAAAGAAGAACTCAAAGACAAAGAAGAAGTCAAGCTAGGGTTGTCTCTGATGCTGCTGCTGTTGCAGCATCTCGGGGTGCAGTCGCCTAGCAGCAGCAGCAGCAGCAGCCCGAGCAGGAGCAGCAGCAGCTGCTGCTGTTGCTGCTGCTGCTGCTGCTACGTTGACTGATGATTCTTTATAACTGCAGGGCGTCTCTGCCCCACGCCCAACCTTAAGACGCTTCCCTCTTATGACTTCGTACTCGTTTGTGTGCTGCTGTTGCTGCTGCTGCCACTAGTAGTGCTGTTGCTGCTGCTGCTGCTGCTACTCCTGCTGCTGCTGCTGGCATGCATGCCAACGGAGAGAGCAGCAGCAGCATCTGCCCTAAAGGAGCCCACAGACTCTGTACCGAGGCGACACGTAGCATATATACAACAGCATTTGCTGCTGCAGCTGCAACGCTACACATTGCTGCTGCTGCTGCTGCTGCAGCTGCACAGGTCACCAAGCGGGAGCTGCTGCTGTACTACCGGGGGAGTCGATGAGCAGCTAGAGCACGGCCAGTTTGCTGCTGCTATTCGCTCTGCTGCAGCAACAGCAAGATCAACTGATCGTGCTGCTGCTGCTGCAGCAACAGCAGCAACATGAGCAGCAACAACGCAAGAGCGTCGCTTCCCTGTACCAGGCCCACTGTTCTCATTGCCTGTATAGCTGCCTCTTCAGTGCCGTTGCTGCTGCAGTAGGCTACCTGCTGCTGTTGCTGCTAATGCTGCTGTTGCTGCTGCTCTTGCTGCTGCTGCCGCCTCAACGGCCAGCCAAGCTTTCTATGCCTCGTCGTTCGAAGGTGCGTAACTGTAGCTGCTGCTACCTTGCTACCGCTGTTGCTGCTGCCGCTGCTGCCGCTGCTGCTGCTGCTACGAACAGCGAGTGGCTGCGAGTCTACGGTTTGATGCTGCCTCGAGCAGCAGCAGGAGCAGCAACAGCAGGAACAGCAGCAGCAGGTTCCCTTTTCTCTCCTCAGGGAATAAAGATGGTGCTTAGGGCATATGGATTAGGGCGTGGGGTTTAGGGTTTAGGGTTTAGGGTTTAGGGTTTAGGGTTTAGGGTTTGCAAAGTGTGAGGCAAAAACTATTGAAGGGGTTTGCGTTGTGGAGGCCTCTGCACTCCATTAAAATTAAATTAAACTGCTGCTCGCAGCAGCTCATTTTTCTGTGCTGCTGCAGCTGCTGCTAGCTGCTGCTGCTGCTGTTTCCCGTTCCTTCCGCTGCCGGTGCAGCAGCAGCAGCTGGAGTTGCTGCTGCTACTACTGCTGCTGCTGCTATTGCAACTGCAGCGGGGTGTATGTACAGCGAGGAGACAGCTGTATATATTTTATGTCTCTTTAGAAGACACGAAAGACATTATTCTTTACTCTTGTTGAGCATTGTCTGCTGTGCGACGAACCTCTTCAAGAGAGCCAGGATCTGTAGTGTCTCCAGGCCTCAGTGGTGGTGAAGCAGCACCTGCTGTATCCTCGTTAGAAGGGATGTATCCAGATACAAACTCTTCTGCTTCATCTGTCTCCTCGCACTGCTCAAATATTAGGCAGTTATGTGTCGCAGTATTAAAACTCCAGCACTGATTTGCTGCTGCACGTGCTGCACACTCCATTGGGGTTGTGGGGTCTGTCTCCAAATTGTCTCCTTTCTTCGCAGCCCCTGCTGCTGCTGCTGCTGCTGTTGGAGGCTCAGCAGCAGGATATGATGCTACTGGGTCTCCCCTGTACTTGTGGCCGAGTAGGAACTCCCCTGAACAAAACAACAAAAAACAAACAAATTAAAAATAAACAGACAAATATATAAACCCCAGAGTACACTCAAAGACAGACACTAAACTCTACAGATGCCCAGCTAGCTGCAGCTGATAGGTTCAGCTGTAGCAGCTGCAGCAGCAGCAGCAGCAAGAAGGGAGTGGCAGCAGCAGCAACAGCAACAACAGCTCAAAGACCCCCAGCAGCAGCCACATCAGCAGAATCAGCAGCAGCAGCGCAAATACCCGCAGCAGCAACAGCAACAATAGCAGCATAAGCAGCAGCAGCAGCAGCAGCAGCAAAAGGTTGCATGCATGTGCATGGAGGTGCTGTTGTCTTACAAGGAAGGGGCTCAATCGAACGAGTACCAGAGATAGCGTTGGGGTCATATACAGCTTTGTCTGTATTTGCATAAAGAATGCATGCATTATCTTTGTATGTCCAAGCTAGACAAGCTGTCTCCGTTGCACAAGCAGTAATACAATCGTTATAGGTTGTTGCTGCCATCCAGGTTGAAGCAGAAGGATAAGATGAAGAGATATGAAGGCCCGCTGCTTGTGAACGAAGGGACCTGAAAGGAGAGCTACGTGCAGACACGCGAGAGGAGACAGGCGGTGTGATAATATCTCCACTTGGGAAGGAGACATTAAAACGTAGAGCAGGTACAGGCCTATCCATAGGTGCAGAGACACCTGAAGGGTGCTCTTCTTCAATATCTATTGAAGGAGCCCCTACGCAGCCTTCTCCTACTACGTAATGCCAGCCCATACAATCAGGTTCTGCTGCACATAGTGATGGACACTCAGAGATAGGCCTGCTTCGGCTAAAGACCTTGTCTCCATCAACAATAGAGTATATCTTTCCTACACGCAGTGTCTTAGGGTTAAGCGCAGTACCGCAGAAGGACTGGGGAGCCCAAGAGAAAGAAGGAGAGCTATCATCTGCATGCAGCTGACAAAGCACTTCTGGATCTGTTGCTGTTGTGCTGCTGCTGCTGCTGCTGCTGCTGCTGACTTGTTGCTGCGGCGGTTTTGTTGCTGTTGTCTCCTCTACTACAGCAGACCAAGCACGGCATAGCCGGTTTGATGCACATTCATATGCACACTCATCTACAGATGTTAAGGAGACAGTTCCTACAACTGTCTCCTCAGGATAGCTGCAGCTAGAAGCAAGCATAACCCGCGGAACAAAGCCTGATATATGATCTTTTCCTGTGTATCCATCGATAATGTTGAAGAGGAGACAGTTTGTCTCTTCTCCAGGTATATAACTCCAATAGCGGCACTCAAGATTATGAAGACATTGATTAGCACATCCTTGAGGCGAATAAACAGAAGAAGCTCTTATAGGAGACCCTGTAATACTTGCACTTCCAGACAAGGGGGTTGTCTCTTCACACATACGAGGGCCGCACTGCTGGGATCGTACACCACACTGCCGCTGCTGCTCTTCATTAAGAAGCATGTGTCTCCTCCTTTGAGCGTCCACCGCATGCAGTACTCTTCCTTCTGACATTGTAAATAACACTCAAAGGCAGAGCCTGCTGTGGAGATCTGCACAAATAAAAACAAAATTAAACAGAGACAGAGACTAATTATTTAACTCATAGAAACACCAATTATACACATTAAGGGACTGTCTCCGCATGCAAATAATCTTAACAATCGACAGATCCTCTCAACAAAACAACGTAAACAAATCGATATAGTAAGCTGCTGCTGCTGCTGCTGCTGCTCTCCTTTTGCTGCTGCTGCTGCTGTCTCTTCTTGTGGGGTTTTCCCTTGTGTGCTTCTGTCTCTGCTGTCCCCTTGTGCTTCCTTGTCTTTGTGCTGCTTCCTGCTATGCTCGTGTCTCAGCTGTCTCTCTTTGTGCTGCAGCAACAGCCGCAGCAGCAACAACAACAGCAGCAACAGCAGCAGCAGCAAGTGTATGTGTGCATCTCACCTTGTGCTGCACATCATCAAGGCTATACTGGATGCCCTCATCGAAGCAGCTTTGCTCTTCTTCATCCTGAGTGAAGCAGTTTCTTCGAGCGGAGACAGCACCGCGAATAGGCTTAGGAGACAGTGAAGGGTCTCCAGATGTTAATGCACAGAGACGCATGTCTCCGTGGTAAGTCCACGCAGTACAGAAAGGGTTTGAAGCGCATTTAGCGCTGCAACTCAAAAAGTCATCAGCCTCGGTTGTCTGAAGAGGCATCCCGGTGTATATGGAGTTCACTGAGATGCAGCCTGAACCCAACAGCAGCAGCAACAGCAGCAGCAGCACGACGCAATGCATGCAATAACAACAGGAATCAAATAAACAAACACACAACAAACAGCAGCAACTCCCATCGCACCTCTGACTCTAATATGCCCTTTAGCTCCAGCAGTAGCAGCAGCTACAGCTGCTGCTGCTGCTGCTGCTGCTGCTGCATGTGCTACAGGATAATGCAATTGCTTATGATAGTGTTACTATAGTAATAGTTAATATAGTAAGAATCGCTTCTCTAACAGCAGCAAGAGGTATGTGTGGTCGTCATATATACATATTTAAAATAAATAATGAATGAAGAGATAAGTAGATAAATAAATAAAAGAGAGTAAGTAATGCTAGTATATGAACGCACCATAGCTAATATTACAGTACTTAGGCCCTGAGAATCTTCCTAATGCTGTAGCATCATTAGTGCGTCCTTGTAATGCATTCGCATCTTTTAAATAACACCCTTTATTACTCTGAAGCCACGTCCAGTAATAACAATCAGAGTTCTTTTGACATAAAGTCTGACAGACACCCGGTGAAGATACTTCTCCTGTCTCATTCTCTTCAATGTTGTGCCCTACGTAGTCAGACTGTTCAAAGCAAACCTCTGAGAAGCAAAACAAAACAATATTAATAAAATAAATAAATTATAATAAACAAATTATAATATACAATATATAATAATGTATAACTTATAATATTAAAACAATCATGTAAAACAAACCATCAAATGCATATATTATATATATATAATTATGCGAGGGAAGTAATAAACAAGATGCATGCATGCAGCAGAACAAATAGATATATATAATATATATATATGTACAAACAAAGCTCTGGAGATACACCAGCACTACAAATATAAACAAACAAGGTGAATATGCATGCATGCATAACAGTGAAATAACGAAGACAACGCATGCATAAAGCAAAACAAAATATAATAATCATACGCAAACCCTAAACCCTAAACCCTAAACGCTAACCCTAAAACCAACAACACAACAGCAGACTAAACAGAGACACTCAAACATAGCGAGAAAGATTTGCATCAGAACAAACCCTAAAAAGGAGACAAACAAACAAACAGACAGCGTGAGGGAGACAAAGAGACAAAAAGAAAGAAGAAGAGCGAAGCATGAGACCCACAACATCTACAAGGACAAAACAAGAAGGCTTCACACTCCCGTTGCTGCTGCTGCTGCTGCTGCTGCTGCTTCTGCTGCTGCTGCTGTTGCTTCTTACTGTCTGCATCGCAGAATGCTTGTCCTGAGACGAGGCCTTCAGTGGTGATGCCCTTGGAGTAGGTGTTAAATGAAGACCATAGAGTGCAGTCTCCAGTATTTAAATCATAAGAGAAGTGCGTACACCCCGAAAATGAAGCGCAGTGTATTTGACAGATATCAAAAGAAGCCGCTGACTGCTTGCTCAGAGCAGCACCCACCACGCCAACCCCGACAAAGTGACACCCTGAGCAGCAGCAGCAGCAGCAACAACAGCAGCAACGACAGCAGATGCAACAGCAGCAAAAGCAGCAACAGCAGCAAAAGCAGCAGCAGCAACAGCAGAAGCAGAAGCAGAAGCAGCAGCAACAGCAGAAGCAGAAGCAGCAGCAGCACAAGGAGCAGCAGCAGCAACAGCAGAAACAGAAACAGAAGGAGTGAAGATCATCAGTTGCAAGAAGCTTGGAGACAATTGGGGTGAGGAGACAGAGGAAGGACAGAGAGACAGCACAAATGAGAGGAGCAGGAACGAAGGCTGGTTAGGAAGGAGGAGACAGAAGGTGAAAGTTAATGCAAAGGAGACAGTGAACAATTAAATAGTTTTAATAAAATCTACGTCTGTTGTGTGGGAGAAGAGGAGACAGCTGAGGGGACAGTAGGAAGGAGAGATAAAAGGAGACAGTTTTCTTCAGTGTCTGTCTATACCTGGCAACACAGGCGTGCATCTCTTTGAGCCGGAGACCTTATCGAGTGTATGCCGACCCTCTGTACGGCCATTAGGGGCCTCTGCATTCTTTAAAGAGCAAATATGTGTATGAGAGCTCCACGTCCAATACTCGCAATCTCTTTGCTTAAGACAGAGCATTTGACAGGCAGCAGAAGACCTTGCTTTTGCTGTCTTAATGTTGTTGCCTCTATAATCTACCCCTGCAAGGACGCAAGAAGGAGGAGCTGTTGAGGGATCGAAGGGTGCAGGATAATCATTAGCGGAGGGAGGAGACACCCCAGACCCCACACAAGAACGAGGCCCTGAAGTAACATCTGGGTCTTCTCTACGATTTAAGATTGCTGGAGCGCTCTTTAGGTAGCATGCATGCGTTGAATACTTCCAGCTAAAGAAAGCGCACTGAGGGTTGCCTTC